GCGCGTGAGGGGAGGGGAGGTGTCACCAAGCTGCCGTCACCCAGGTGTTTACCAAGGCCTCTGTATATCTCAGCCAGGACCACGGTGAGGCTGGGGCAGCCACAACTGGCCCGTCTCCTCCCGCCTCCTCGCTGCGGACAAAGTGCAAAGTACAAAAGTGGCTTGGTCCAGCAGGTCAAATGCACTTTTTCTGAAGCGCGGTCTGTCCTTTAAGCAGAGTGTGCTGATTTTATGGCGGTAAACTGTCACACCATTCCTCGAACGTCCTTCTAATCACCAAACAGGTGGAGGAGATAGTGAGAGAGATCGTAGCTGAATCCATAATAAGCATCTTCTTGCTTGAAATCTCAACCAATTCCTTTGTCCCTGTCTGTTTCTGAACGGATGTGAACTGGCTGACATCAGGTGTGAGTCCAAATCAAGGACAGTCAGAGCATTATTAACAGTTCATTTCCAGGATAGCAGCTCATCCATACCTTCCGGTTGTGTGTATAGTTTCAACCCCTGGCTGTGTGTGTGTGTGTTGGCATGTACATATTATATTGCAGGGACCAAATATTCCCACAATGTGATAGAAACCTGTTATTCTGACCTTGTGGGGGCTCAATTTTATCAAAATCTGTGAATGCAATAAAAAAACAAAACATATTTTTTTTAGTTACTTATGGTTGAAGTTAGGGCTGAGTGGGGATTAGGGTTTTGCCTAAATGGACAGTCCCCACAAAGATATGGGTACAGGTGTGTGTGTGTGTGTGTGTGTGTGTGTGTGTGTGTGTGCTTCCACTGGCTCCAAAAATGAACTAGCGACACACAAATGAAACATACCCAAGGTAGGTACACTGACTTCTATTCTGCAAAAGCAAATAATGGGTGAGTCGTTATGAAAAATTATTTAAAAAAAAAACCTCAAAAAGGAGGATGCTGCTGTGAGATGAGCCCCTTCTCTGTCCACTCCTTTCACAGTGGCCTTCATTTAGGCCAGCCAGGTTGGGTCCGCTTCAGTGATACCACTCTAATAAATGCCTTTCATTAGCCTGGTGCATGTAGGCAGATTAAACTGTCATTTGACAAAATGAGACGAATAGTGCAATTTATTTAAGTGAATTACAGGAGAACGATGCATTGGGATGTCACAGGCCAGGAAGTTTAAATAACATAATCGATTTGTGGTAAAAGAATTAACATGGATAACGAAGTAGAAGCACAAACATTCACAAATGAAACGCAAATAAAAGTGCAGCAAAGGGAAAATCTGAGTGTTTACCTTTCAGTGAAATAATGCAAGTGGAGGGTGTTTCTTTAGGAGAGTGGCTATATTATTCTTAATGAATAATCAGTTAAAGAAAGACTGGAGGGCACAATAGGAAGACTGCAGTGCAATGAGAGCTTATTTCCAACACTATGGATTGTTTGGAGTAAATCTCTTGAGGAGCCCACTGTCCTGCAAAGGATTCTGGGGTTTCTGAGTAATGGCACCCAGCTGGATCTGCAGTTTTTTTTGCCTCCCTCTCCAGGTCCCCTGATACTTCCAAACACCATCTATTACAGGGAAATGCAGCAGTGCCCCCCCCCACCCAATCTATCAGCCACATGCACTGAAATCCTGCATTTCTCGAGCACCTTTCTAAGGGAATGAAGATGAAGCTTGAAGCTCTGTGGTGTCGCACTGCTCTTCTTCCACACCTATGTCTGAATATAATGAAATGCTGCAGAGATGCACTGCCCCCTCTCCAACACCCTTAACCCCTACCCAGCCCTAACCTTAAACATAAGTAACCAAACAAAACACAAGATGTGGCATTTTTAGTGTTTTGATCACAGTCACAGGTTTTTATAAAAATGAGTTTCTACCTGGGGGGGCAAAAAAATGGTCCCGCAGCAATGCACATACACACACACACCTGGGGCTCACCCGTGCTGCTGTTGAAGCAGACGGCAGGCGTGCTCGGGCAGTAAGAAGCGCACCCACGGCACAAGCACTCATGATGCAGAGTCAAAACATTTTTGCCGTTTCTTCCCGCTCTGACAGAGTGCCACCACTGTGCCCAGGGAGCGCTGACTGGCAGACCATCTCCACTGTTGATTACATTGTGAATGACGCAGCACCTGACCTTGGGAAATAAAGGAGGCCGACAGCGAGCGCTCCGCTCCAGCTCCGTGCTCCTGGTGCGTCGGCCTACGTCTCGGAACACGATAAGCTTTCACTCCAGGTCTCCACAAGCTTTATTTACTTATTTATTTTAAACAACATGCTTTATTTGCCATTTGCACAGGTACACTGGAATGCTCTGCTGACCCCATCTTGCTCGCCATGGCTTGGGGGTCAGTGCAGGATCAGCTAACATGTGGCACCCCTGGAGCGGGGCGTTAAGGGCCTTGCTCAAGGGCCCATGGACATGTGACTGTGCAGCCGAGCCCTGG